GGGGGGGGGGGGGGGGGGGGGGGGGGTGAATTGAGGCCCGCATAGTGAGGGAGAAAGGGAGAGGGAGTTGGGCAGGGCTGTGGCTGCGGGTGCTGCCCAGCCAGGGTGGCGCATGAGGCTTAGGGCACAGGGCTGGGGCAGAAATGTGTGCTCAAAGGGCCCAGGGTTCCCTGCCCTGCTGCCTGGCTTCTGGGGCCTCTGGGGCCCAGCAGGCAAGACCCAGTGCAGCAGGGCAGGAAAGCTTGATGCTGCCACTGGGAACCCTTCACTGCCATGGTGAGGCACTCCCTGCCTGCCCAGCAGCAGCAGGAGTGGTGCTGCAGAAGAGCAGTACACTGCTGCCAAGTGGGCAGGGGATGCCTTGCCATGGTGGCACAGGGCTCCTGGAGACGGGAACAAACCTCACTGCCTCACTGCTCTCCTGCACTGGGTCCCGCCCCAGGAGGAAGGGCAGCAGGGTAGGGGGCCCCAAGCCTGCAGCAGGCAGCTGACATCTGTCACTGCCCCACCCCTCCGCCCACCATGGGCTCTGCTCCAGCCCTGCCACCTGTGTGTGTGGGGAAGTCAGGCTCCGCACTCTGGGCCACAGGAGCTGCCACCTCCCATAGGTGGCAGCTGGGGCTCAGGTGCTGCTGCAGGGGGGCAGCTGTAGACCTGGGTCCCTGGCCCCATAGCCCTGGTAGCTGAGACACCCCTCCAGTAGGGCTGAGGGAGCAGGGGGCTGTGGGTTCAGCAGTGAGAGGCAATGGCATGGGCAGGGCACCAGCATATCAGGGCTGCTCAGTGGCAGAAAACAGGTGGGGAACAGCTGCAGCTGGACCCAGATCCTAGTGAGTGAGAGGGGCAGGGGGAGCTCTGATTTTCCATGATAAAAAACACAAAATCAAATATCAAAATGTATAGGTATTTAGAATGTATTTTATTATAGTGATTGAGGCACTGGTAGGCTTCCAAACTCCTTTAAAATTGTAAATATATCAGGAAAACACTGTGTTCAACTGGTACATACACATACACAGTGGCTTTTCATTTTAAGTGCAGGAAAATGCAGGGGGGTGGTTATCAGAGAACTTGTGATTTTTAAGCATAGAAAAACAGTATCCCTGATCATTACTGATTCTACTTTGTTAGGACATACACATGAAACCTATTTGGAAGAGTATTTCCAGCAGCACAGTGCCCTCTATCATCATCATGAAAATTGGATTCAATACAGCTTCAGGAAGGAAAAGTACCATATGTAGAACCACCAATGCCACTTTCTCCCTGTAATACCTAGATGTTAAGTGAACTGGTCTTCCATCCAAAAACAGCCCCACCTAACTCAACCCTTCTTAGCCAGGGAGACCTAACAGGATCAGATTATGCTGTGGTATGACTGCAATCTAAAACCACTTAAATACTGTAACTGAAACACCAGATACTTACAGAAGTCACTCGGTGGATTGTGTGCAAGGTTCCTGTAGAACTCAGTTCTGTGAGCTTTCTTTAAACCTGTGCATAGTCCAAAATCAGACAGTTTTACATGACCCTACAGAAATTGAAGATAAACGTATTATTGAGAAGGCTTAAAGAGCACAATATATTTTAACAACTTACTCACTTAGGAACTGTGTAAAATAATGTTTTGTAGGATTACCTTATCCAACATTAGAGGACAACATAGGGACTGATGACTCTTTACATATCAAGAAATTATTAAAATGATTCTGCTCTGAAATAATAGCTTGTAATGAAAAACTGCTTAATTACTCCAAAGAGTTTGGGACTCATTTATGTTTTTAAGACTGTAGGGGAAAGAATGAGATTTGGAACAGAAAAGCGTAATACAGTAAAAGCCGTGTTGTTATCTGACACTTCATGAACCTGCATGCTCTATTAACCGGCATGCCAGCTGAAGCGGCAAAAGTGAAACCAGAAGTAGGACTTCCGGTTTCACTGAGTCCCACCTTCAGGCCACAGCCCAGGGCAAAGCAGCCTGTGTGGGGACCCCTTCCCTGTCCCCCAGTACACTGATGCCAGGGGAGGGGCGGCATGGTGCCTGTCCCCCGGCACACTGATGCACCGGACACGGTGGGAAGGGCATCTTTGCCCAATCAGGTAAAGGCACCACTCAGGTAACCAGCATATTTGGTTATCCATCAGCTCACATGAGAGCTTCTGCTGTACTGTTTTATTTAGGACATCTCACCTAGAGTAAAGTTACTCTATGTTACTATCGCAAACATGTTACATACCTTGGCATCCAGCAAAAGGTTATCTGGTTTAATATCCCTATGGATGAAGCCAAGCTGATGAATGGCATCTATGGCCAGTACTGTCTCAGAAATGTAAAACTGTGTCTCCTCCTCTGACAAGGTGTCTTTCTTCATCAGTAAGGTCATCATATCACCTATATCAAAGAAAATAAATGCATTTTATTAATCAAATAATGTTACTGGAAAAGTCAGTAGAGTCTGTTTTAATCTTACAACTGTTCTTTATGGTCTTCTATAATCAGACCATTATTAAAAGGAGCAGTTTTGCTTGCTTCAAAACCTGTTTGGCAAACTGGTCCCAGAAAGAATCAACTGAAAGTTACGAATCTGGAATTTCAATTCAGGTACTCACTGAGGTAAACTAGGTTTAATTATCTCCCAACATGTAGTGCATGACAGTTTATTTCCAGTAAGAGTCACGTTTACTGATACTAACATCAGCAGAGGAAAATAGAACAGACTCCAATTCTACTTAAGGATGATTTAAAATTTCAGAAATGCAGAAATGGTTACTACACTGGCACTACTACATAAAAATAATATACAAGCTAGCACAAAATTCATACTTTTTCTTTTTAAGCACCTAAGAGCAAAAGGGAAACGTGAAAATTTGCGTCACAAATTACAGAACTTAAAACTTACCTCCAGGTAGGAACTCCATGATAAGATAAAGATTCCTTTTGTCTTGAAAGCTGTAAAACATCTTCACCACCCAGGCACCATCTGCTTCAACCAATATATCTCTTTCTGCTCGGATATGGGCCACCTGTGGAGAGTTAAGAAATAGCATCATTAATATAAATATGAACCAACTTCTTTAACATTAAACTTCCTACTGTTCTTCACTTTTTTTATTACGTCTGATGAAGAAACTATTTTTCATACAAAGGGTAGATACTGCAAAGACTCCATATTAAGTTCGTAGCACAAAATCCCACTGACATCAACTGAATGCTTTACTAGAATAATACAGTCCTTATTGCCTCCAGGCAGCCTCCTGACTTAAGATGCCATCAAGAGATCTCCAAATGTGGGATTCCATAAGTGAAGGGTGATTTTGTTTAACACACAATATTTGGGAATCAAATAAAGCATGCGTAGAAACAGAATACCTCTAGGACTGTTTTACTGAAATGAAACAAACAGGCTCAGATTTACTTGTTTCTAAAAAAAGACATTTTTAGAAATGTTAATGTACAAGACCTTGCATCAAGATAAGCTTTGCAATATTACTATACTGATTATGATATCATAGTTGCTCTCACAAATAGATGGAATTTAATTGTAAAAGTCACTAAGAAAGCCTAATATATACAAGCATATAATACAATACAGGATCTTGTCTTTAAGGGTGCAGAAATTGAGACCTGAAAAAAATTAGAATTGGTGACAGCAGTTATGAGATTTCTTATTTATGTACTCAAAAAAAGCTGATAAGCATTCATATATTGGTTTTATCTCACAGTCAAAGCTAAATAAGATACATACCTTGAATCATCTCTAATAAGAGTGACTTGGCTGCTATCTTTACAACATTTGGAAAAAGATGTGAAGGTAATACTAAGTGGCAGTTTTTATTTCATAGCCTCTTTGCTTGACAGAAAATTAGTTCCATTACCAATGCAGGAAACAGATAAGTGATTGAACTGGTAGAATATCATTCAGTTCATGGTACCCAAATTCAGTGTCCTGATGTAACATCTTTGCAGAGTATTTGTAAAATATTAGTGAACAGCCTGCAAAATGAACTAAAGAATATGCCAAGGTGTTGGGTTTTCAATCTTAAAGCACCGTAAAATTAGTGTGTCCAGAAAGGGACCTCAATAAACTATTCTGAATCTGTACCACTGTCAGTTGGGAAAACTGTGATGCTCTAAAGCAGGGGTGTGCAAAATATAGCCCACAAGCCAGATCCAGCACACCAGCTGACTGGATCTGGCCCACAGGCAGGCACCCACCAATTAATTGCATCTGGCCCTGCCAGTGGCTACCCCTGCTGTGTTCTGCATGGGGCCAAGCCTCGACTCTCTCGCCTGGGGCAGTATCTGCTGTGCTCCCAGCTTCCTCTGCTGGAGGGCGCCAGCCCAGCCGGCACAGCTTCCAGTCAGAGCTGCTGCTGTCGCTGCCCAGGGAACTGTTGGGCTCCTGCAGTCTCCAAGGACACCTTTTCCTGTCCCTGTCGCAGTGCTCTGGGCAGAAGGTAGGGAGGGGAAGCTGAAGTGTTGAGGGGAGCAGGGTCGGCTCTGCCTGGAGCTCACTTTGATTCTGCTCATGAACGGCTAGGCGGGTGAGCATGTGAATGGAGGGGGGTAGGGATGAAGGAACTTGGCTGCTCATAAAGCCTCACCTGGCAGGCACGGGACAGACAAGTGGGGTAGCAGCAGGAGCCAGTGTGCAGTTGGTGCAGCTCTGCTGAACAGGAACATAGCAAGAAGCAGCAGTAGCAGCTGGAGCCAGCGCAGGCTCAGCTGCAGTCCCACCAGGCAGGTGTGGGATACAGACAAACAGAACCGGTGGTGCCAGGCTCAGCTCCCTGTCCTCACTTCCCTCTCCTATGGGCTTTTCTTGCTGCCCAGCAGTGGCAGCTGCTTAACCTGCCCTTTGCAGCACATTGTGAGCCAGACAGGCAATGCTGATCCCTCTCCCCACTGCCCACAGAGGGGCTGGGTTCAGTCACGTCACAAAGAGCAGGTAAGGGGGGAGGAGCCCGCCACACATCGAATCTCAACCCACCCCCACCATACCCACACACCCAACACTATCCCCCACACTCCAATCACACACCCCACCATACCCACACAAACCCACCCCCCACCACATCCCACTATACATCCCACCCCCCACCATACCCACCTACCCACACACACACGTGCAACAGTCCCACACCCCCCCACAAGCACGTGCACAACAGTCCCATACCCCCCACACACCTTATCAGCACCATACCCACACCCCCCAACCACACTCCC